ACACGATAGAGATGGATTGAGAGACATCATTCACAATTCTCTCGCAGATTAATGCCTCTACGATCACCTTGTGATTATGAGTTATACATACATACATACATACATTGGTCTGCTAGTGAAGGAATTTCACCGACCTTTTGATATAAGAAACCCACGGGAGCACTTGAAGATATTACAATGGCAGTTCAGTGGACACAATGTTACAATATCTTATAATTGAGGTACAGTATGTAGTTGGTTGAGTTGGGTAACTCCGCTCTTCTTCCTCGCTCACCGGAGGAATTTCTCTAGTCTCCTCGCGCCACTGGGGAGCTCTCCAATGGAGAGAGAAAGATTTTCATAGAACGGCTTGCTGTGAGAGGTGGACTGAGACTTGACAGCACGAACCGTGAATATCAAAAAGCTTACGGCCAAGGCAAAGCAAACGCGGGCAAAATTTTGCTGAGGCGAGCGCGGAGCTGAAGCAGGATTGTTGACTGACGTACCTTTTTACTCCACAACACCGGCACATAATAATGTACATGTACAAGACTTCGTGCGTATTAAACTCAAATTCGTGTTCCGCCAGCGTCAGTGTGTCAGTGTCAGCAAGTACCTTCAGTACAATAATGATATGTGTTCCAAAAATAACTTCGGGACAGTCTGTTCTTGGTTTTCATTTGTATTGGACTCGTTCTCTACACTTGCAATAATGTAGCAGCAATTCTACTGTTGTGGGGTTGTTCTCTTGTAAGTTAGTGCAACCTGTATTGAGTAACTGAGTTTAATGGTTCGTTACATCGTCGATAGATCTTCTGTGCACCGGTTTTGTGGCACAGTGATTATAGCCATTAAATGGCTATAATCACTGTGCCACAAAACCGGTTGTTGTCTCCATTCTCGTGCAGTCATGCATATGCAGGTTGGTTCTCTTCATATTATTGTGACCTATTTCATAGATGTTGGTTGCCTTGTTGCTTTCTCTCCCCTGTCCTCTCGCCCAAGCCATTCCGCTGTGGACGCAGCATACTGCTGCTACACATAAACGCGTGAATGCGTAGAATAAAAACAATAATCTGCATGAGCTAGTGAAAGGAGGTTACGCAACAGTGCCTGCATGCAGTCGAAAGATAACTATTGTAAGGAATCGTTTGACACTACCCATCTAGTTCAGGTTATGTTATACAGGTCTAGTGTGTAAGCATGCTTGCGAAAGAAGAGTCCTGTCTCCCTACTGAAGTATAATTTGCACACAAGTTCAACCCTTCTTGGAAACATCTGGCAGGTTGATAGTTGTAAGTTCCACTACATCTAAAAATATTTGGCAGACTACTTCACAATTAAATTGATCACTTTTTTTGTCTGAGCATTGAAAATAAGGAAACCACAGCTCATTGCATAACGGTAGATTTTGAGGATCTTCAAAAACTTGGGTACATCACCCAGCACATCAATCACGTTTTGCCTGTTCGAAAGCGACCGCATAACGGGAGACGTAATTTACAATGTCTTTCAATGGTGTATTTATCCTGGTGCCAAGCCCCGAATTTCTAATTTATGTGCTTGCCAGCTGCATGATATTATAATTACTTCCATGATTTCGACTGGAGGCTGGAACTTGTGGCATACTGGTCGTACATTTTGGTATCTTCTCATTGTTCCAGATTTTTACCCTTGTAGGCTTTCTATTAATCCTCTTCTATGTCTGAAACTGGTTCTGCAGTGTTTGTCATAGGAAGCAACTGGATGTCAGAGAGTATCTATTCACAGTTGACATCCTAGCGTAAGCTAGCAATGACCAATTTTACGAAATGCTTTAGTCATGGCACGACACTCTAGTGCTCCATGAAGTTGTGTGTACAATAAATTTGTTTTGTCTTTTTCATCTCTTCTTTGTATGTTTCATCATTCGTATACTAGTTCCATAACAATCTGTATGAATATTATGTAATGAGACAGAGTGAGCATTTAACTGGGAACACACACCTTTTCATTCAGCTGCTTTTGAGATATATTCCTGTCTGCCATTAACAACACTTGATCAGCCTACCAAAATTTCTGCCTAGCAAAGCGCAAGGGTAAGTACGACCCTCTATCCCAATGTTACGGTTTTCCGAAGTTCTCTAGTTAGTTGAGCATTAGTAAGAAGCTGAATCTTGTAGTGGAGGAGCAATGCGCTATTTATAAATGTTGTTATACATGTATCGAGGCTTTGGTGGAACGCTCTGCTCCGTTTGAAGCGCGACAATTTCTTCGAAGCCTCTAGAGGAATAGTGAGTCTGTTTCAGCTACGGCGGTGCAGACATTGTTGGAAATTCACAGCATGGTTAAATCTAAACCATATATTCTAGGCCTCGACCAAATATGCTTGCGCATATCTCCGCATATTTTGTGACACAGGTCATTATGGCATATTGAGCGACAAAGGGAATATTGGAATGAAGCAGCTTATAATTCAAATATTCTGAAGAAAATAAGGACAAAACATTCATATTATGGAAAAAAATGCGTTCAGAAATGCCTTTAATGGATGCATTTGGAATGGTTGAGGCGTTTGCTTCATTTCCCCCAATGAACACTATCGCTACGGTTGCTAGGGACACTCCCAGCCTTACTTTTCCGCATGTGTTTTGATTTGCACCATAAGCATGATAGGCGTGAAGCCAATGAATATTCCAAGGTTGTACTTTTATTGAAATGATCTACATTGTCTGCTTATGTCGAGTATATTAATTTTGGCATATCTTTTTCCATAGCTTGCTAAGCCTTTGGCATATTATGGACGTTTTCCCTGATATGCGACGAGCATAATAAGCTCTTTTTTTTAGCATATTTGGTCGAGACCCAATATATTCCTAATATCAAGCAAAGTATGAGAGGAATTGTGTGCTATACTCGACGCTGTAGCTCGTGCGATTCAATTTGTTTGAAAATTTGACGTGCTCAGGAATAGTCTCGCACAATGTCAATCATAAATTCGGCAATAAGGCACACAACTCTCTGACCGACACACTGTTGTTGGGCGTAGACAAGAGATCTTTATCGCTTTGCGAACAGAGAGCATTTCACATGGCCTGAACTTTATGCCGGCTCAGATGCTCGTTTAATTCACAAAGGTCCTGTTGGTGTTCTAGTTGTGCAGTTTCCAAAGAATGCCGTGGTGCGGTGAACATTGCTGCATAAATGAGGGGACTGTGCTGTATGATGAATACTAGTTCGATGAAAGTTCTATACTGCGAATACAGAAGATGTGTCCAGCATAAGTAACAAAATAACTGTAGTCAACAGTTTAGGGGGGTTACAATGCAGGTGAGTTTTAACCAAGGAGCTACTTGCACTGCTTAGACCAAAACCTTACATATCAAGTATTTATAATTTCGCATCCGCTATATGGGGGTTTGCACATGTGTCGGTACGCAAACACGACGTGGGATAAATCTGACAAAACAAGATGCTGCTCTCCATTATTTTATCTCCATATACAGGTCCTGATCAGGAACATTGAGAGATGGTCTTGTTTCGTAGGCGGCATTGACTGTTAAACAATCTTCACATGTAGCAACTGGTCCCATAGAGTCATTGCATTTGTTGCGTTGATCGATACACGTACTCTCCTCCGGTACCCAGCCCTCCTGTTTAGTAGCATGACATGTACGAGTAGCATATTCTGGCTGTTCACAAGGCTCACCACCGTGGTTTGAATCCTGCTCTCCAACAGTGGTAACAGGATAAAACCTTCCCCCTTCAACGCTTCCTGGTCCATAACTGTGGCCGTTGGTTGTTAACTTCGTCACGGCACCTTTTTCTGATTCACCAGTGGTGATTTTGGATGATGATGGTGTTACAGTAACCACCGTTGGGCGGCAGGTTGCCCAGTTAGTCCCTGTTCGACGGGTCGCATACACTGGCAAGTCGCTGCTTTCTCTGTTCACTCTTCGCTGCCGAACGTAATTGAGAATCAGTGCCAGGACATTTGTTACCATTAGTAGTCCAGTAACAGCAAATAAGGCTACGAGGACGAGGTCCATCTGGTTATGATTTCGACACTGAATGTTTTCACATGCGCTTCGAACTTGTTCACAGTTTCAAGTACCATTGAACCAGATTGATCGGTAATCGAAGAGACATTACTAATTTTGTGCGTCACTGAGTCTCTCCTGGCATTCTTGCCTTTTCAAATAAAAGCGCTACACCTGAAGTAAATGACAGTGTCCAATCCTGTCCTCATCTCCCAAAAGAAAATTCTCATCGAATGTTATGCCAGTCCCTGACATGGTCATCCCGTCTACAAGGTTTTTGTATACGCATGAAGGCATTTCAACTACCAATACACGTTTTGAAGTCTGTGCCACATGGAAGTGATCATGGACTAGGTTTCAGGGAGCATGCGTGTCATTCAAAAGGGTGAACGTCTGGAGTGGTGTACTAATGCTAGGAGCTCGTTGCCTTCCGTTTTCAGATTTTCGGAAATGTTACTACGAAAACAGATGGGTAAGCATGGTCCCATAATCAGATTGTCTTGTGCTTGAATCCAGAACTGGCTGCGTGACATGACATGTGTAAGTGATGTATCATACCAAGTCGACCCTGTGTTTCGGTGGTGTAAGTCAGTCAGATATTTATCTCTAACTGTTTGACCTAGCTCCTGTTGCGTCTACCGTCAGGTACCGATGCACCAAAGAGACAGTGCCGATACCGAACACTGACACGGTTGCTGGATGATCCCCAATCAAGACGTACAGGTTCTGGATTTTTTTTAATTTCAGCGTTTGGCATTTCACTCGAACTGCTGAAATCAGGTAGAGGGGTGTTCTGGTATCGTGATGGTTGGGCTTTGTAAGCTGGAATGCATTCCAGCATCGGATCTTCATAGAAAGAGATACATGGAAGGGCCAAGTATTCGTAACACATGAAGGGTTCAAATGAACTTATCATGAACTTGAACCAGTTACATGCACGTTAAGCACGTAGCTGCTTTCATGAGGCATAGATGACGGAAACAGCAAGTTTACCCCTCCATGTGGATGGAGTCTCCAATCTCTAATCGATCCGTTCTATTTTTCAAAAACGTGATCAAGACGCAAAAAACAAGACAAGCAATGCAAAGGACACGAATTCACGTCATGTTGTGATTCCAAATTCAGCGGATAATTGAATTCGCGCTCTGACCTGGAAACAATGCACAATGGAAAGAAGTGAACATGTAAGCCAGTGAAAAGAATTCTGAATGAATCATGAAAAGTACTGGATGCGCGACAGGAAGGCGCATTATGAACGAGATAAGAGGCTGGTTTTGAAAAAAAGGTCAAACCACATTGGCTTAGTCTACACCTGGAATCAGACACAAAGCAAAACAATGGTTAGTTATCAAGCTGAAATGTTTACGCCTACGAATACATATTGGCAATTTAATTGGAAATCCATTGTCATCTCGAATCAGCCAGCGAGCAACACATAAAGTGCCATCAATTGCCATGGAGCATACTACTTCAGTAATATATGCATGTTTTACTCACCAGCCAATCAGACAAGATTCCATAAGTACACATAGATGCGAATACAAATTTCAGATTGCAGACAGAGTAAGTTAGAATGGTTGTGTGCTGTTCAATTCTAGCGGCTGAAAAGGAAGAAATTGGGTCGCAGTATGCTTTGTTAAATCATGCATTAGACTAGTCTGTACTTTGGAATTGTTTGCATAGCGGTCATAGGGGTGGGAGGGGGAGAAAAAGGGGGGAGAAACGAAGTAAAAAAATGCAGGTGGTTCAAGAACGGCAGTCCTATATTTAGCAACAATGTAATTCGTCCTGTGTGAATCCTCTAAGGCACTAACAAGAAATGGAAGATGCTAATTTACAAACAAGCCGCAATATGCGTTCTGAAGGCTGAACTTTTAGACCTAGATGGAGATTGTTCTAACGGTGACTTTAGGCGAGTAGGAACATACCAGCTACTGGAAGAGAGAGCTCAAATGGTGGCCGAAGTTACTCTGACCTTGCTTTGGATAGATTCTTAACTCCTGCGTAAATTGTGGGTTCTAGCGCGGAATTAATGTTGTCAGCTGAACTTGGATTTCCACCAATGTTCACTTTCAATATGACTTTATCGTAGATAACCGTGCCCGCCGGCTGTGGACCTAACCCTACGCCAGTTGCTCCCGCTGACGCATCCTTGCACGCGAACTGCAACTTGTCTGGCGCTGTGTAGATTGGCTGACTGGAGATGACGTCATCTGGGTGACCTACTTTTTGAGTAGTCGAGGCGGCAGGCCGAGGGACGCGCGTGCTCTTCGATGGCAGGTCTGATCCTGGGAGCGCAGCACTCTCACCTGTGGATGCCATCGTACTTGCTGGTCCGTCTTCCGTGTTGCCAGTTGCGCCAACCTCTTTAGCCATTGCCATCTCGTAGGCCGGATTCTTTTCCATTGGCATTGCATAGATATCCAACACTGCATCTTCGCTTTCATTCTTCTCCGCCGAAGCGTGTCCCACCGTGGCATTTCGTGTGTGCAGACTTACACGAGAGATGTTGAGGTGGGGTGGTTTGTTTGGAGACTGTGCAGCCTTTCCGCCGATCAAAACTTCATCATGCTTGAGTTGTTGCCCTTCCATTTTACTCCTACCTCTTAGGTCATCCGCATGCTTGGCAGTGCTTTGAAATGTTGAAGAACACGTCTGTACTTCTTCAGTTGCTCCGATTGTTTTTGACACGCTGGCGCAGGAATCCTCAAACCTGTATTTGGTGGAAAGGCGACGAGAGGTCACTGGACCAGCAGGGCCTGAGGCAGAATATGCTACAGCCTCTTCAGTCGCTTCTGTTGTACGAATAGAGACATTGGAGAGCTGCGATTCGCGCCTCATCCCGTCATCCCAATTGCTTGCGGCTGGCCTCTCTGAGGGCCTAGCGCCTTGAGAGTGAACTCTTCGAATGTATGTAACCAAGTTTGACGTAGAGTATGGTAATATCTTGCCCGAGCGTAGCAAATAGAACGATATCACAGAACAGCAGCACGTCAGCAGTATCAAAACTGCAAATATGGCGATTAGTATTGGCACGAGAGCGGATGCTTGCACTGAGGGTTGAGTGAACGCTGTGATGAGAGGGACCTCCGTTGCATATGTCAATACGGTACTGCTAGTTGAGCCTGTATTCAGTTTTGAGGACTTGTTGCTTGTCAAATACGTGCGTAGAGTACCAGACCACGGAGTTGATGTTATTGAACCTGTTGTCATCCGAAGAGTGGGGGAAGTGGAGGCAAATGCCCGAGAAGTCGGTTTTGGTGAAGAGCTGCATTGGAATCCGCCCAGCGTATTTTGGCAAATTTCTGGCGCATGACAGAAATTATTTTGATTAGCGCATTCGTCAGCATCTAGAAGGGAAGCAAAGATTGCAGCACGAACATCTTCAACAGCCTCCCTAAATCCACGTATGATCAAAATCAATAAACACATGAGAACCGATCTTCTTTTTTTCTTTTTGTATGTCGAAAAATAGGAAGTGCTTACAGCCAAATTAGTCCACCTTGTTGCTACATGTAAAACAAAACTCCTCTCTCCAAGACTTTCATTCACAATCTATAGAAATGAACGTATTCATGACCAGGATCTCATATTTTATTCCTGTCTAAGAGTTTTCGTAAACTTCAATGCGAGTCTGTTTTGTGGCTTGTAATGCATGGCAGTGCAGTAATGCTCCACGTTGACTACACCATATAACAATATAGACCTTGCGTCGCTGTGGCTGTCCCATCAGTTGTTTGTTAGCTGGTGAAGGGTGTGTGTGTGTGTGTGTGTGTGTGTGTGTGTGTGTGTGTGTGTGTGCGAGCTAGTTCGGTTGGTGGGTACACTTATGCCGGATGGTGTTGGGTATGTTGCCCACGGGCTCGGCTGCTTGAAGGTGTAATGTTGTACCTACCACCTTTGTTGGTTTCAGAGTTCATGTATTTCTATTTGAAGTATACATACCTGTTAACCATGGACTACTTCTGTCTAGATTAACTCTTGTGTACATCATGGTGCTAGTGAAGCTTGTATGAGATCCACTCTGATTTAGCCACCCACACTAGTGGCAAGTATTACCTTCACTGGGGGCAGGGGTAACTGCAATGGGATCCCTGGACGGATAGCCTCACCCACTTAGTGAGGTGTGGTGAGCCCATAAGTGGGATCATTTTCAAATCCACCCAGGGTTTTGGGGATTTCAGGGGGGGGGGGGGGTGTGGTCGGCTGTTGTGCGGTTTAATAGCCAATTGAGTCATCTTTCCAAGATTCTTTTTGGGTCTCTCTCCCCTTTCCGGGAGACCCACGTGACGAGTTTTGGCAATGAGCAACAAGTACAAGTGTGTTTGTGAAGTGTGCACGTGTGTGTATCTGTGTGTATGTGTGTGTGTATGTATGTGTGTATGTGTGTGTGTGTGTGTGTGTGTGTGTGTGTGTGTGTGTGTGTGTGTGTGTGTGTGGCGGAAGCATTTGAGTCAGAGAAAAATTAACGTTTTTCTGCCAAACTAGGAGTTTTCGTCAACTTCAATGTGAGTGTGTTATATGGCTTCTTGTCCTTCGCGGTCAAGGAATGCTGTATGTTGACTACACAATGCAAGAAGATAGAGCCTGCCTTTGAGGACTACCACGAATGGCATTGTTTCCTGCAGGGTATGCACAGAGGTGCGCAACGAACGCAATTCTCCTCAGCTGAGACTGGATTTTCGAAACTCATGCTTCACAACTACACAAGCCGGTGGTCCCCATTTGTCACTGTCTCCACACATATTATTTCATTTTTAATTCTCCACCTAGCTAATGAGAAGGTGTGGATCTGTGCGCCATTCACTGTATAAAGTAGGTGCTCACATATTTCTATTCACTTAACACCTCACCCTTTTATTCCCCATGCCGAAATCAGTTGTGAGAAGGACTTTAAATACTCAGAAAGCTAGTAGGAGTGGTGAGAAAAACAGAGGTGGTTGAGTCCTTTCAAGAAATGATCTTGATTTGGTGGCATGGGTTCGGGTAAGAAGGTAGGTATAATGCATGTAATCTCTGGTTTTGTTTTGACCTAATCTAGAAAATATTAGAGTATGATTGGGACTGTGCATGTGATATATCTTACCATGAGCCTGGATGATCATTACGGGTAAGTAACCCGCCATTGGAAGACGGTCTACTTTGACTCGGCACCGTCCTGCGCATCTTGTATTGCTATTCACCAAGATTCTAATCTGAACTGGACGATCACCTTCATACAATGCAACAGGGCTCTGAGTTTCGTAGATTGAGTCCTGAAATGTTCGTAATCCACACTGCGACGAGGATTTCTGGAATATGGTTGTGGAAACCTCAAAACCGTGATATTTTCTCTCTACTTTTACAGTACAACCGCCGATAGTTCTCAGAGTGATAGATGTGATGAAGGCCCTGCATTGAGCTTCAAAGGTAAGATTTGACCACCTCCGTCCAATAATTGTATCTGCAACAACATCTACCTCATTAGACGGTTTCAATGCAACACTGAGTTGTCCTTTACTCGACTCCCTTACTTGAACATTCTGCACATTCGATGGTTTACATGCGGGACTGATTTCGGTGGCAGATACCAGAGTGCAAACAATCGAGAATAAAGGCACTGTAGAGATAGGCAAAAGAGAAGATCAATACGATTGCCGTCAGGAAATGTATTGGTTTGTTATGCAATGAAATTATGAAATCAATGCCGTATACTGTGGAGACACTTGGGTGGGGGAATCATCTAATTTACCCTTGCATAAAATAAATAGAAATCAAAGAAACCACACTTACTAAGTGCTGTAGAGATCCTCATCATAACGGCAGTAATACTCAGGAGTTGAGACAACGTGGGCAAAGCAAAGACGGTGTTCCTCAACGACGTGTTGATTTCACAAGTTACTAGGTGCACAGCGCTACTTCATGTATCTGCGACAACGCTAGAGCTATGCACTGTACGTTGACTTTGCAGTAAAATGCCGCCAGCCTAGCTTGTGATCTCCCAAGCGGGAAGGCCCCACGGTCGTAGCAGGATTTGTGCGTGCATGTGCTTTTCAAGCTCTGCCTTTACGGGCAACCTGGCATGAGGCAAGTTATGGGCCAGGCGATAGTTATGAAAATGGCGGACGCACAAGGATGCCGCACACTGCCACTGGGAGCGCACAACATGAATGGACATGAATGGCGCAGGAAGCTCAGTCCGTCATTGTCCAGATGGTCATAGCATGGCACGTTATCAAACATGTGCTGCCTTCTTCACGCCTAAAATTGTTTTTTTTCTAAGTGCAACGGGCGATGTTGCGACCCTGAATTTCCCACAGGTACAACTGAGTGGTCATCATTGATCATCTCCTTTCTTCCGATTCTCCTTGTGGCCACCTTTTGTAATCGTCCCAGATTGTCGTTTTCAGTCGGTATTGTAATAACTCACCAAGGGGCGTATCACCTAAGTGCGCAGTGTGACCGAGCCTCTCTATGAACATATCCTAACGTCTCAGGTTCGCATCATTTCCTCTCTCCAATTAGTCTCGTGATGAGTTCATGTTTGACGCCAGGCGCCTGCCAAACAAGTGACTTCTACTTTGTGTCGGACAGGTTCAATGTTCAGGTTGACACTTGATGTGCTAGCCCATCCTATCATCATGATACCGCCACATCCGCGTGCATTGACTGGGCAATATATGCAGACTGATGTTAGTTGTTTTGATCAGGGTGGCAGTGAGAAGGATAGCTCCTCGTTTTTCTTAGTGCCCTAGGGAACGTGTGAGGCCGCGTACACAAGCCGCCTCACACGTGGCCATTCGCTACACTGTACGTGTCTTTACCATAATGCGATTCAAATCAGGCCTGGCAAGCAGTGGTCTTTAGTCTCTTCAACATTACGGTAATAAACATGATAACTAAGTAAATTCAAGTGAAAAGATTTCTAAAATATCAACAATGATTGACTTGCCTTGAAATTATGTATGGTTTCAAGACTAAAGACGTTCAGCTGGCTACTTCTGTCTCGTCAGCTAAGAGTGATTGGCCTCTCGGACCTCCACGACGTATTGTGAATTTCAAAGCCTGAGAACATCAAACTACCACACCTGTCTTAACCCGAGAACACAGCAAGCTTCTCACAAGCCAAGAATATCATTCCAAACACAAGATTACTGTAATAACACAAGAACATATAATTATTCCAGCGAGAGCTTTAACAGATAGTGTTAAATTATTTACAAAGTCATTGGATGTGTAATAGGACTAAAACAGTTAAATCCAAAAAATGTGCTTTGGAAACGGGCTAGGTGCTACGGAATAGACTGTACGTCATTGAATGTAGGTATACAGATTCTCGCTTCCCTGAAGGTTAGCTGCACCATATGCCTCGTTGGTTGTTAAACCTGATGAGGCGCTAGTGGATGTCACATAAGCAACGCTCTGGTACATCGGGACATTGCTTGAAGCACGTGTGACTTCAATATCAGACTGAGTAGGCAAGCGTTCATCATTTTCCGGACCATCAGTTTTGTTTCTCCTGCCAGTGAACTCGGCAATCAATACACGATATCGGAAGACGATAATAACCAGAGCAATCACTATTAGAAGTGATGTAGCCACGCCAGCTATTACTGCAGCATCAAGTGCAGACGGCGTTGACTTTGAGTCTCCAGTCTCTTTGTGAACTGTGAAACTTGATCTGGGAACTATTGTTCCCCACACTCGCGACTCTGAAACGGGGAGCGAACTACGCATGTACTTCCTTGTAGTTGGAGTGAGTGACGCCAGGTCCACATCTGTTCTTTTCAATTGCGAAGCCGTGTACGCAGTCAACGAAACTGATACTAATGGCTTGGCTGTGGATTTGTATTGCAGGGGAGAGGTAACTCTGAATGATGTCGGCAACCATGGCGAGTTGGTCGTCATCGGTGAATGGGAAGAACTATAATATCTCTTTGCGCTCGGTGTCCGAGTCTCCGTATCCGGAATGGACGTCATTATGTACGACGGTTTACTGGGTGGTGCGCTTGCCGTGGTGAAAATCGGAGGTGGCGTATCTTCCCAAACTGTGTTGAAGAAAACATAATGAAAAAAACTGAGTTAGAATTTCTACTGGCTAATACTAAACATGTAGAAAGGCGACGGGACCCCTTTAGGAACTATTAGTGCAGTGTCGTGGAATGTCTAGATACTTGGTGATTTCAGAATCTATATGTTGCAGTTTTTGATTCCATTACATGTACAGTCTAGTAAGAGGGTTAACATATGCTCATTTGTCATAGTCATGGGTCCCTTATCCTGTCTACACGAAATTTAAAATAAGTAGGATTCAACCGAATATATTACCCGCATGCGGCCTCCTAAATCCATGGCACACACATCGTTCACCATCAAAATGCATAACGGGGCCGCCGGGAGTTAGAGTGAGACAATGATGTACAATATGTATAATTGACAAATGCAAAAGGATACCGGTACATGTACTTACAACGCAAATTTAGTGTCCAAAGTGTTTTGCCGGAGCCAGATGTGAGAACAGTGCAATTGTACGCACCACGCAGACCTATCGTTCTGCCCGTCACCTCGAGCACAGGTGGCACTCTCATGTCAACCTGGGGCGTTCCTAGATTCCAAAAATCTATGACTTTGTCGCAGAAAGTGCTCGACAAGCAGCGGTGGATGGTAGACATTGTTGTCCTGGCTACCCTCAGTCTACTTCTTCTTATGATAGCGGATACTAAACATTCTGTGTTGGGACCCATTCGGAGGGACAATTTCCTCAGTCTCATATTGCATGTACTATAAAACCTAAAAGTCGACACGTCTTCATTGACAAACCCTACGTTCCTGAACGCGCGAGGTAGAGTCGGATCACTGTCAAAATCCACCCCGTCGTAGGAACTATCTGGTGAGCCACGTTGGCCATCGAATGACATACATTTTCGTGACTGGCATGATGTGATGCTGATTATGAGTAAGATGACTCCTGCATAGAACAAAAAACAAAGAATGTGAAGCAAAGTCTTACTTGCAACCGGCCTAGTTAGCACCAAACCAACGCATGCTATACGCCATGGACTGTAACAACTCTGTAACCCGTACGCACGCTTATGGGCACAGTACGAATGGATAATTAGAGCAGCCTCCTCAGAATTGTTCAAAAAGCGTAACAGGGTTCTTAGATTTGACACTTTCAGCTTTTCCAGAAGGAAATGAATGATGGCTGACTTGTTTTACCTAATGTGTATTTAATGCTATACATGTACTTATTGAATGGTGAACCAAAGACACTTACCAGTCGTGGTCAGTCCCCTGATCCATTGCCGACTCATTTTTTTCACGACGAAACCTCACTCACGTTAGGAACCATCAGAGCCCTTCTGTGACAGATGACTACGAATTAAGCTTTATAAATACGTTAGTTACACCCAAGCGGAAAAACCGTCAGAGATCAAATTCCATTACGCAGTGTTTCACCGTTCAAGCAACGGATCATCAGATGGATGATCAAACAAATTATGATACACTGGTTATATACTCAGAAGGTGTGAACTCCGTCATTATGGAGTGTGAAAATTATCATTATGTCCGGTCCTGGATGTGACAAGTCCTTTTTCATGATGCATTGTACAGAGTGCCTAGGTGCTAGATGAGGGTGATGATATTGCGGGGTGTGACCAGCCCATTTTTCATGATGCATTGCACAGAGTACCTAGGGAAAGGTGATAGCGCAGAGTGGTGCCACGCCAGGTAACAGATATAGAGGCGCTACCAAGGCCATAGAATATTCCCTGTCCTTATGTGATGGGCACAAAATTTGATAGGACATATTTGCTTTCGTACCTGCATTTTGACACAATCTCATTACGCTTGTTCAGCCTAGTGCGGGCGTCGGTTTCGAGGATGTGATACTTCTCGGTAGTGCAGAGGCCACATCTCTTGGACGTGTTATCGAACGAGGTGGCCCTGTCGCGAAACTTCCCGTCAATGACGTACTGTCTGTTGTCCCGCTTCATCGACCAAGCGGGACAACAGACAGTACGTCATTGACTGGAAGATCCGCGACAGGGCCACCTCGTTCGATAACACGTCCAAGAGATGTGGCCTCTGCACTACCGAGAAGTATCACATCCTCAAAACCGACGCCCGCACTAGGCTGAACAAGCGAAATGAGATTGTGTCAAAATGCAGGCACGAAAGCAAATATGTCCTATCAAATATTGTGCCCATCACATAAGAACAGTAATTATTCCATGGCCTTGGTAGCGCCTCTATATCTGTTACCTGGCGTGGCACCACTCTGCGCTATCACCTTTCCCTAGGCACTCTGTGCAATGCATCATGAAAAATGGGCTAGTCACACCCCGCAATATCATCACCCTCATCCAGCACCTAGGCACTCTGTACAATGCATCATGAAAAATGGACTTGTCACATCCGGGACCCGACATAATGATAATTTTCACACTCCATAATGACGGAGTTCACACCTTCTGAGTATATAACCAGTGTATCATACTTTGTTTGATCATCCATCTGATGATCCGTTGCTTGAACGGTGAAACACGGTGTAATGGAATTTGATCTCTGACGGTTTTTCGGCTTGTGTGTGATGAAGCTCTGCCTCGCTTGCATTGAGCACTCTCCGCAGTTTGAAACCATTCCCTTGTGTAAATATGTTAGTTATAACACTTAATATTTTGCCTTTCCTCGCATGCGTGTATAACTTTAGACAATTCTATGTACTCTTCTTCTCCTCAGTATGGCTTTATTGGAAACAAGCACTATCAATTCTACTGCTATCAACGCTGTATTTCTATCAAGTCACAATGTTTTTACTGGACATGTCAACATTCGTAAGCAAGTAACAATGCGGGTAAGGACGCTTTAAAGTGACAAACTATGTGCTCCATGGAACGAGGGCAGGGCCAACAGTCTGACAATGACTACATGTATAAAACTCCGTGTTGCAGCTTGATTCGGCCTAAATTCCATGGGTAATGTGTGAAGTCGACGTTAGTTACGAGTTAAACCAGTTTATGGTTGGGGAGAACGGCGATTTGACATATCTGTCCTGCAATGTTTCTGCAGACCATTGTTCAGTACGCGATCTGCCAAAATATCCATACATAGTCTAAATTAGTCAAACGTGCTTCGTTTGGCCACTTCTGTATTTGTGATTGTCTGCAGGCGTTCGGATGTTAGCCAGGCTAGCCTAGACACTTCGGATGTAAGGCATTCACAGGACCATGCCAGCGGGCAGGTTTGTGGTAGATTTCGCGTCAAATTAGTCGCGACCTGAACTCGTTATACTCTTCTTCACCCTTTCATTACCAATGCAATCACAAATGTGTGCAAGCTGCTGTTCGGCATGTCTGACGCTGTACAGGACTGAGCACGTACCAGCAGCCAATTAAGAACTCCATTGACGCACTTTTGTGGCATCTACGAATGCTGAACAGTTAAAGGTGGCGCAGATCTGTGTGCATCTGCAAGTAAAAGTTATGTGTGACAAGATGTTCAGGAAAGACATATCCTTTCCCGAACTAGAGTACATCACGCATTACTGAAATAATAGTATTAATTATATTATAAAATGGTGTATACGGACACATGCAAAACAAGCTTGATTTCAGTTCACAAAAATTGCTACTGCCGCTACCGGAGCTCACTGTAAACACCACAGGCATAGCCATTCACACATGAGGAGCAGGGAGAGACAGAATAAGGGACACAGAGACAGAGACAGCCATAAGCAGACAGAGACAAATAAACAGAAAGAGACAGAAAGAGATAGAGCGTTGGGGCGGAGAGGGACAGAGATATCTAGAGAGAAGACAGAGAGAGAGAGACAGAAACAGAGAGAAACAGAGAGAGAGAGACAGAAAGGACACGAGAGACAAAGAGAGAGACAGAAAGAACAAGAGAGACAGAGAGACAGAGACAGAGAGAACGGCAGAGAGAGAGCTAATATTTATGTTGAGACTCCCAGTTCCACCCATAGTGGTCCCATGATCACTCTACCAGTTTCTGGAATGTCTTGCCATGAATTTAATCTTTCAAACAAAGAATGGGGTTTCTGTTTTCACCGGGTCAAACCCAATGCGGAAAGGCCTTTTAAACAAATCAAACCAAAGTTCTCCATATTTAAAAACGCATTTCGGAGACTCCAGTCCTTGTTAAATGGCTTATCTTCATGGTAATTAAAGCCAGGTAAATGTATATATACTAATGACTGTACTACAAATCTGTTGAGGAAAACCAGGCACCAAAGAGACCGTACTAGAGTATGTGTATTGAGGTCTAATGATTTTAATGTGCGAATGGCTGAAATGAAGCAAGTTAGTTAGTGGTTAGGGGACACACAAAAATGTTCGACCAACTAGCGGAAGACTCACAAGTTAGCCCTGCACCGCGACTTCTGCCCAGTAAAATCGGTGAATGCGGATACTTAAGTTAAAGTATGGTTACTCCTAATATTCCTTCGGAAAGCTGTTTTGTCAGCCACAGGCTCGTCATGGGATGTGATCTTCAATAGGATTTTCCAATTTACACGCATCGCTGGCCTCAAGCGAAGATGCCTAGTTCGAATCGTTGTGGCGACAGAAAATATTAATCTTTTGTTTCAGAATTTTCCCGTTTGTATCTTTCCTTCAAGTAAAAGAATAATTCACCTGACAAATATGTATAGTACATAGTAGGGCGCAAGAAACCAAGCAAGGTGAAACAGTGCGAAGTTACCAAATAATAATCAAGGCCGCACGCACGCAGTGCCTAGGGTTCGGGGAAGAAAATAGCAGCTGGGAAACTGTATACATAATTATAATCTGTTTTCTGAGGCGTTAGGTCCTCTGTGCACTTCGCAGCGCTGTATAGTGTGCGATTTCACAAAAAAAATGTCTGGACGGGTTATCCAAGCTATGCAGGGAGGTTATCTCTATTTCGACAACGGCACATACTATACTCCACGAACTACATGTATCTCATGAACATCAATGCTTAAGAATGTTCTATCCAAACATTCACGACATCTCTAGAGGAAAGTTGAACCCTACGAATGAGTGTGTTCGTGAATGGATTGCCCACCTAAAACAGTCTGAGATGATGTAAAAATAGGCTGGAGGAAAACAAGTACATTCGAGTATGTGTACTAATGGTGTCGCGCAATTTGCTATCGCAGTTTCGGTGCCATGCACACGACGACCTAAGAACGGCACTCTCGCTGTGAGGCACGACTGGATTCGGAGGACTGGCTTTCAATTCCAAGTTGGAAACCTGTGGTTGAGCGGGACTCTTTCGCCGACCTGAACTGGTATAGCGATCAATGGTGTAAGGATGTCTTGCGCAGAACCAAGAACGTGATGCTGAACAGAATCGCAGTCCCCACTATAGCACCGGACACGGATGCAGCAAGAAGAACAACAGGATTAGCCGCCGCGCCCACTGTGGTGTCGGCAATGGTAGTGAGTGCGGCGGATTGAAATGATGTGGTAACAAGCTCTGAGGTTCTGGCTGGAACCATACTGGTGTGTAGCTGTGCATCTTCGACCATGTTCCTTGTACTGGAAGACTGACTAGTATTTGACCTTCCGAGCCTTGTAGCACCTGGGATACGAAAAGAACAAAGGGATGAAACTGTGTTCGATGCCAGCTGTGAAACATTTTTTACATTGTTACTACGAACAAGTGATTTTTGGTAACTTACAAAAAATCTACGTGGAGGTAATACTTTAAATATAGCTATGATTGTCAATCAACACAACAGATATACGAGGACCCCGAGAACGACCACGTCTGAGATGGATCGACGTTGTCAAGAAAGACTAACAATGCATTAATCTGTCGCTTCTGGATGCTGTGCAATCTGCTTCTGATATAGCTGCTTGGCTCGAAATTTTTAACGGATGCGCTGACCTCATGCAATGAGTAATATGCGAACTGTCATTATTATTACAAGTAATATTATTAATTATGAATAGGATGAAGGTCGGAGACATCACGCAGGTACGTTACTTGTTCGACGTGTATGTGAATTTTATAACAATAAAATTATGGAAACCCGGAATCGATTTTTTAGTTCGGCATGTGTTCGCACTGATGATAGGAACGAGAAAAATAGTACTAGTAACGTAGGTGCGGGATGTCTGCGGCCTTCATCCTATTCATAGATATATGGGCCAGTGCATGCGAAAACGTGTCTTCGGGGGAAACCGATTTCTTTCAGAATTTTGAGAAAATCGCTCGGAAAGAAGAGTTATATTTTTTGTGGCTCGATCGCGGATCTTGTCAATCGATCTCAAGACGACAGGAGAAGCGACAAGCGATCGACTTGCAGCAATAGTCATGGACGTGGCAGCGTAGGAGGACTTGGAAGTAGCACTTGAGGAAGGGCCTCTGAGTAGACACACTCGTGGC